GGAGCAGAATTCCAATGTCCGGCGGATGGTTGCATGTCGTGCCTCGACTTGCGCTATGTCAACAAGTGCCATGCTAGCCAGACTGTGAAGGCAAGCAAGAGCCTCAAGACAATCTAATCCTTTAGCACCAAACTTGGCGACAAACTGTTTAGTGACTGGGTCTTGGAGGCAAGTCCTCGAATCAGTCACTTCACCAGCCTTGCCCAACAAAATCCAGAACAGCTTGTAAGGGAAACCAGATTGGACAACTCGAAGGAGGCAATGCAACGACCCTGCAGCTCGCGCAATCAATCTGAATAGAAGTATACAACTCCGACGGTTGTGAGCTACTTGCGGCAAGGCAGGAATTGGAGAGTGTAACCTGCTGAACAAGTCTTTCAATGCATTTTCCAAATCCTCACCCAAAAGAGCTTTTAGGATTCTGTAGTTCCGACTCCCGTTTCGCAATAATTCTTCTTCTTGCTCATTCTCCCATTCTTGGCCTGAGAGCTTCAGGAAAGCAAACATTAGACCAATCAATGGTGAAATGGCGAATCTCAAGATTGGAAGCCAAAAGCTGTCATCCTGCATCACAAACTCTCTCACGCGAGCGCGCACAGAACGGTTGAACTCGTCCCAATTCGTGGGCTTGCCACCTACAGCGGAAGCTTCGTCTGGTTGCTGCGGCAAGTCAGCACCAGCTTCCAACTGGACTAAATTCCCTTCCACTGAGTCTGTTTGCGGACCGTGTTGGACAAAGGACTCTGCAGCTTGCTCCCATCCCTCACCTGTCGCTGGTCTTAGTTGGGTCACTGAGGAGGCAGGTTTGTCTGAGAAGTCATTTAAGTATCGCAGACACGCGCTCTTCAGCAAATTGTGGTGCGCAGCAAGAAGGCCTAGCTGATCTATTGGAATCTCGCAGCCATGCCATCGATGCCTTGGGAAAACACTCACCCCCCCTTGGCAAGAGTGCGAACGGAACATATCTGCACAAGAGCTTGCAAGCATCTTCATGTTTGATGGCATAAGGAGCATACCACTGAATACAATTTGTGTCTTGCAAATCCCCGTTCAGGAAAAAGTTCAGGACCTCAATCTGGCGTACACGTAGGAATTGGTTCCTGGACAAAGCATCTTCATTGCTGCAATTGCCTTGAAGATACGTTGCATAGACTTGATGCCTGTAATCCTGGACATAGCCATCGGGTGGAGGAGCGACAATCACTTTAAGCTTGGACACAATCTCATCTCTGATGCATCTCCGAAACTTCTGAACAGATCCACCAATACGGAGAAGCAACCCGAAGTTCACAATGCCTGTGACCATGTTCGGAACGAGCTTGAAGAGATTGTTGGTCGCTGTAGAAGCCTTGTGAACATCGCAGGGTAGGTGCATCAGGTCCCACTCGGGCTTCAGTCTGTTGATGCCAGCTTCTGCCCTGTGATTGGAGCCATCACGATCAGTAGTAGTCAACTGTATGCACTGATTGAAGAGTAAGCTAGACTCCTGTAGCACAACAACGCTGTTTTCGAGTGCAAGCTGAGCCTCCATGATATGTTCCCCATTTTTCTCTGCAAGACCCTGCAGCCATGTTGGAACTGCCCCATGGTAAAAGGTGATCTCCTTTGAACTTTGGTCTTGGAGCACAATGCCAAGGTGAAAATGACTCTGAAGCAGCTTGTTGAGGCTTGGATGATTGTCTGATTTGAACCTTCTGAGTCGTAAAGGCGTCTCATCATAGAACCTTTGCTTGATCAAAAGTAGTCCAGTAGACTTGCCTGCTTTGATGAGGTCATTGCATCGCTTCAACAACATGCTCCACTGCCCATGCCCTGATTCAAGCAATACAGCCGCCACTTTTTCCTGGTACTCATAATCGGGGCCTCCCAGAACGCTTGCAAGCATTGTCTTGGAGGCAAGTGGCTTGGAAGGGTGCAGGGCATTGTCCACATACTTCAACAGTGTGTCCAAAACCTCATCCCCTGCAGCAGGCCCTTCAGAGGACCCTGTGGAAGCCAACCCTTGTCCCTGAATCAAGAGCTGGCGTTGGATTGTCGGAAGCACTGTGATTGCACAACGATCTGTCTCAGTTTCTTGAAATTTCAATTCCGGCAACTTGAAACCAGCCCAGTCTGAGAGTGCCACAATTGACAATTCACCCTGTGAATCTTGAACTGGACCTGGGATGATAGGCTTTTTGGGACGGCCTTTTGGTCTTGGCGTGAAGAAGCATGGAGCATTTGCAAGTGCAAGTGCTGAGTCAGAGCCATCTCCTGCGCTTTGGTAGGCCGATGAAGCAGCGGCCCATCCATCATCATGCGCATTTGAAGGCATGTCTTCAAGTATGTCCTGTTTGTCTGTGGTCAAGTTTGCTGAATAGACTATAGCATATGGCTCCATGGCAATGTCGCAATTCAGATGGTTTCATGTTCAATGCACTAGTCACTAGTGACCGTTGTCGGACTGAATGGAATGACTTTGAGCCGATTTGAGCCCATCCTGTCCAAAGAAGACATGGAAAATACTGGAAAGGTAGCGAAGAACGGCTTTCGCACACAGCCCTCAACTGACCCCGACAGGCACGCCTCGGACGGCGCAGTGGAATCCAATAAGCCAGGTCCATTCTGAATGGCAGAACATAGAAGCCACTGGCCCTCATCCATTCGTAGTTCTCCACAACTTCCAGCAACCTTAAATTGTCTTCCAGTAATCAAGGACGGGAAGTGTGAAGTTGAAATCACAAAAGGAATAAACAAAAGGAATACAATTCTTACAAAAAGACATGCGAGGGGCATCTCCAAAGGACTGGCGCTCCTAGTCTTAGTGCCAGAATCTTCCGGTTTATCAATCCCCAGCACATTCTCCAAGATTCCAGAGCGTGGGTCATGGAAGTCAAGCCAGGCTAAGAATTCCACGAAGAGAGTGATGGTTTCGATGCCCCTTGACTGATCCACTGTCAAAACGCTTGGCTCTTTGAGTTGAGTATGGTTTACATGGCACACCTGCCACAAACATGTCTGCTTGTGGTGCGACCTGACATGGCGTGTTTGAGGAATTGTGCAAACAACACCGTCGGCCTTGTGAGTACTGATGAGACATTTGCTGATGCAAATGGCCCACTTGGTGGTTCTGAGATATGAAAGTGCGCACCATTGCTGAGGAATCTGAAGCAGTCTCAATTTCGAAAGGGATGCCCAATGCCTGATCGCGAAGCAAGGTTGAAATGAAGCTTCGATGTTCTATGCTATGGTCTGGTATATACTATGTTACACCATATTATATATATATATGCATATGTGATACAACATTGCATCGCGGCGTCTTATTGCGAACAGCCATCATGATTGACCAATCATTTGTCGACCTACTTCAAAGGCACTCTAACTCTACAACAGCAGTCATAGTTACGCTCTGGTGACTCTAGTACTCTGGTCACTGTAGTCAAAAAAATACCAACTCAGGGATAGCAAACCTATCTGAGAAGAATCGAAACGTAACTAGTTACCCTCACTAGTCACTAGCTAGCAGCTAGCCTTACTAGCTGCTAGCTGTCACTCACACCAAACCAGCTTTGAACAAGTTGTTTCTCACACACTTGTCCTTCAAAACGGTAGCTTCTGCCAGTGTCCCTGAACACGCAGAAATGACTCGGATCTTCTGTAGTGCTTGTCGGTCGACATGTTGCTCCATCCACTTGAGCAATGGTTTCAACCAGTACAATTCTGGTGCTAGCACTTCTTTCAAAGAATCATCGGTGTCGGAAAGTGCTTCTGCTTCTAGCTCCATCGACCCGGACCGTCTCATAGCACAAGCTTCCTCAATCTCATCTGATTCTGCTTGACTGGAAATTAAGAAGACTTGAGAGGCCTCTTCCCAAGAAGACGAAGACATCCTTCCCCGGCAAAGTTGTCCACTCTGACTCTTGTTTTTGAGCCAAAATGTGCTCAATGCCAAGCAAGAATGACCATTAGAGTTACAGATTTGTACACGCTCTTAATGCTGGGCTTTCAATGCTGAGTAGTGTTTTGTTTTTTTGCTGATTTCTTTGAAGCTTTGTGCTGGGTGATGGATTGTTTTGTTTCCTGATTTGCGCGTTGAATCTGTGTTTTGTCTTGAGTATTTGGTTGAGTCATGGGTTTGTTTTTTGTTTTTTGAATTTCCGAAAGTCGGAAGGCTCTGTGCAGGCTTTCAAGATCACAACCCTAGAGTGTCCAAAGAGTGTCCATCTACTAGATCCCTATACAGTAGGGCCAGTAGGGTGGTCTATTGGACGCTCCTGGGATGGTCCTGATCTCCATAAAGAAACAAGTGTGAGGATCCATGAGGTGGGGAACCTTGAGAATCTGTAGAACAACTTCCCCGTGTAAAAGCTCGTCGGTTGTAGAGGCAGAATGTATTCAAGTTGACACACCTAATTTGATTGTCCTTTCAAGAACGGCGACATCGGCGATGTCAAGAACACAAGCCTCTTCAACGAACTGAGGTCATGGAAGCTCCAAATGCAACAAGAGCTGTCGCTGTCGCAGAACGTTGACACACCACACTGGTCACAGGTCACGGTGGTGCCGTTCAGCCGCATGCTGCTGCGCAGTCGTTTTGCGTACCATGCATGTCCTGTTTGCTTTCCTCAAATAATGGTCTATGACGGTCTATGAGGAAAAGGCGAGCATCCCAAACCATCCATCTTGGAAGTCCAAGACCAGGCAAATGGTTGATCTGGTTATGTAGTGAAATCCCTAGTACAACAATGGTGGTTCGGGGTTCAGGGTATTAAGTAAATGGCGGGCCACGACTTCGAGTCTATAGGGTATATCAATGGTATATACTATATATTACATTCACCCCATGTATGACCCAAATGTATGCAACTATCTGCAACATTATCATCAACTCTTCCCCAAACACTCCATGGACTGCCGGCCAATCATCACTAGGGTGGTTGATTTCAGGAGTTTTCTGCGGCAGTCCATGGCAGTCCCGTCTGGGTCGTGTCTGGGTTCGATGGTTCTTAGGTCTGGGCCTGACGGTCGAGCTCGGTCGTCGCTGCCATCGAATCACCCAGCTGCCCGAACTCCTGCGGAGTTCGAAGGACGAGGTCTGGGCTCCCAGCCATGGCGGGAACAAGGTGATTACACCTGAAAAGCCTTCAATGAAGCTAGCCTTGTGAAGACAGGGCGGTCACATCCTTTTTTCGCTGCGGCGGCTTTTTGAGTGGTTGGGTCGTTTTGGCCGAGGTGTTTTCTGCGGACTGTCCGTGGATGCGACTGCTTCCACTTCCCTGCCACAGGTGCCCAGTTCTGCCGCCTACCCGACCGCCTGGCGTGGTTTCCCTTGGACCGTCTGGAAGCGTTTGGGGGAGGTGATGACGTGAAGAAGGACCCCCCCCCACCTATCAGGATCCTCAGGTCACGGCGTCACGACTTTGAAGAGACTTTCACCACAGTTCTTAGTCCAGAATGGGGCATGGCCTCGAACAGCTTCGTCCTGCGCCCTTGGTTCATGTGGTTCGGCCAAAGACGGCTAGCGCCAGACTTTTTTTTTCACACTGGGCCAGGGCGGGACGGAGAGGGTGCCGGGCGCGGATAGTGGACCTCCTCACAAACAGCATGGATCAGCATGGTCTGACCCAGCTAGCGCCAGGCATCTTGGCGTGCACCGCTTCATACCCCCTACCAAGCAGGGGCTCTAGACGAGGGGTCTCCCCATTCTAATCCACACCCAACACTATTGGATTTGCTGTCCAGGAGCCTGGAAAAAAAATTCAACATATTCCCCAGAAGGAGATCTACCTAATGTTGACCTCATAATAATAAATGGCCCGTGAATAATACTAAATCTTTTCAAAAACCAATAATAAATGGCCCTCAAATAATACCAAAAATTTTATGGACTCTGATCTTCAGCTGCTTCCAGACCTTGATTCAGCCAAGCTGATTCTGAACTTTCAGCTGATTCCAAACCTGATTATGTTGTGGTTTCCTTTACTCTGGAATTTTGATTTGGCTGCTGCATGTTCCTTTTAAAATGCCTATTTGGGCATGCCATTTGTAACCTGAAATCAACCCACAAAGACCACCCCCCCACGAGCAGCCCAAGCCTTCAATTACTCCAGACCTCAAATAAAACAATCCCTGGCTGGTTCTTTTCGTGATTTCCTTTCCTTTCCTTTCATTGTCCTTTCATTTCCTTTCCTTTCCTTTCCATTGTCCTTTCCTTTCATGTCATTTCCAATTCAAATCAAGATGTTCTATGATTTTTCTGGATTTCACATTATTTGGGGCCCGCACTTCATCAAGGGGGGAGGGGGGGTTTATTATTAGGAGGCGGACATTACAACGTTAAAAAGATCACCTGATCCGCAAAAGCCAGGAAGAAGTGATCTGAGATCCGCCCTCCCTATCCTCCCTTCCCCTTATTTCTCTCACGCTTCCTTCTCTTTCCGCGCACGAGTTCACCACCCGATCCCACGGACTCTTCGCGTCGCGTCGCCCGACGGAAGAGCCCGGTCTCCTCGCGCACCGACCGCGTCGCGTCGCGTCCGCGTCGCGGCGTGCGCGGTCTCCTCGCGCACCTCCGGGCCGAAGCTCACGGACTTTCCTCAGCGCGGCCGCGAGTCGGACCAACAAAGGTTTGAAGGACCCGAACGTTCGACTATCCCAGTTCGGTACCCCGGGTTCAGGTCCTAGTTCAGGTCACTGTCCGCCTCTCTTGGTCTCGAGAGGTTCCGCATGGGGCTCCATGGTTCCCCGAAGACGACCGGTTGGAGGGCCCCCCTGACGGTTGGAGGGGCGCCTGGTCGATGAGAAGAGGACGTGGACCGAGGATGCGACGCGAGGCAGGATGCGAGATGGAACAGGCGTTGGCTGAAGGGAAGCACAGATGCAAGCGAGAGTGCATCCGAGATGTCTGTGCGAGATGTGAGTGAGGAACGAAGGAGAGGATGAACTTCGGAGCGGGTGAACTGGTTGGGCAATCTTGGTCACTATAGCATGGTACCAAGCAAGCGGGGGTGTTCAGGTGATCTCCCTCCCGAAGTCAAAAGAACACGAGAAATACAGATAGATCTAATTCTAGCACCGTGTGCCGGGTCACTTCAAGTGTTTGATAGTGTTTGGAATTGACTTTTCCCAAGAGGTTGTCTGAAACAACCTATTCTGATAAACGTCAAAAACCCTATGCATATATAATTATAGAGCCCCCCCAAAAAAGAGAGAAGTGACCTGCGCATGGCACATGGAATCATTGATCAAAAACATATCAAAACCAGCTGGTGGCACAACTCTTCAGATCTTCGGAAGTTCCCTTCCAGGTCACCGAGTCGCGAGTCGAAGCGACGACCCGGTAGGGCCGGGGTCGGGGTCATGGTAGGCCACCAGAAGGAGCCGGCCATGCCGCAGGGGCATTGATATGGATGGCACGCGTCACGTCTCTCCAAGCAACTTGATGGCTCCCCAAAAGTTCCACAGATTCAAGACAGAAGCTCTTCGGACCCAAGCCGCATCAGCAAAACATGATCCAGATGCGGATAAGGGGGCACCTCTAGCCTTCCATGTCACAACAGACAATCCCCAAAAAAATATATTTTTTTTTATAATTTATATATATACCCAAAATATTTGACACCCCCCCGACTTGGTTGATTCTTCGGTTCTTAAAAATCACTTGTTCCATGGGCCGGATCGAAGCTGTGTTTTCAGACTGGGCGAGCCGGGCTCGGCCCCCCCCGCGGCGGTGAGACGCGGATCCTGCAAGGTGGCTCAAGCCGTGGCTGTTCTTGATGATGGAGCGGCCGGGGCTTTGCCTTGGTGGTCCGTGCGACCGGGTTCGGTACAGATCATGGAAGCTGAGTCTAGTGTCTAGTGGCGATCCAATCGCGGTTTTTTGATGCTTGGATCAGCCTTCTGTCCTTCAGTGGCGAGGACCAAATGCACAACTTGCTTAGAAGCATTCATGGACTCCGACCTGGACACCATGAGTTGATGCACGGCCTGACCTGCAAAGCGTCAGATTGGACTCATCGCGCCTGCTGACCGACTGACCCGATGATCGATGGTTTTTCTGAGCCGCGTGGATTGACCAGTGGCTGCCGGTCCATTCGTCCTTCGCTGGAGTCAGTCCACACAAGAGGAAACCGATCCCGGCGCAGCCGCCGGAACAGCGCCGTTCCACATGTGACACCTTCGTTCGAGAAAAGCTTGGGTGATATATTCTGATGAGCCCCAATGCCCCAAATCTGGCTGCTTGGTGGGTTCAACTCCCTTGCAAAATATGAGTCACTGGCTGGGTTTAATTTAATCATTTAATCATCCCAAAGCGATAAATCAGACACCATCTCGAAACCATCATCCCTCCAAGACCTGTCTGGAACGTCTGGAACCTTTGAAACCAGGATCCTGATCCCTGTCTGCCTCACCCAACCCAACTAAACAGTGCCTTTTGAAGAACCATGAAGAACCGCACTTCAAGATACTTCAAGTACGATTCTTCAAGCTTCAGGACAATGTCACCTTCTGCCATGTCTTGATGTAACGGTCTTATTCCCGTGAGAACCGCGCCATGCCCCTGCTCGGGAACCCAAAACCAACGCTTCCCACCACGTGCCGTCCCGTGTCTCGCCGTTGCTCACTCGGCCGCGTCCCGTGTCTCGCCGTGACACCCGGCTCGTCCAAGAGGCTCTCCTCGGGAGGAGTGAGACATCTTGGAGGTGGCCCGCTGCAGCTCGGAGCCGATCACTTGGGGAAGCTCCTGCGGCCGACGGAGGGCATCGGGCCATCGGAGAAGAGGGAACGGTCGGAGCCGAGGTGGAGCGTCCAATGAAGGATGCAAAGGATCCGGCGTGTGATATCCAATTTGGGGTGTTTATGTTTATCTCCAGTGTGGCTGCTTGAAGGGAGTGGCAACCTACTTGCCAGCCACCCAAAAATTGATTCCTCAGGGGATGAACGTTGAACATATAGCTTCAAACCACCAAGACTCCTGCTGCTTAGGCGGGAAACAAGTCATCCAACCTTCAAAAGCTCAGATTCCAGATCTTAAAACAGCTTAAAACAATATCAAACAGTGACAGTACACGTCATGTTTTTCCCAGCTCACTAGTTCGCCTTTTTGGCACCCCAGCACCACCCGGGTCGCTGGCGGTGGGGATCATTGGCCCAACAGAAGGAGTCGCCCCACGCTCTCGCCCGGCCCGACGCCCGACGAGAACCGCGGCATCCAAGCGATGATTGCGTGTGGTGGGGCATATACCTCGATCTATTTCACCATATTTCACCATCTTCCATCTTCCATCCATTTTTGGCAGGTCCGGTGAAGACCCTGTGTTTTTCCTAAGGGCCCTTCTGAAGCTTCCCTTTCTCATGAGGAGACCTGCGAAGTCGGGTGCTTCTAGTTCAAAGTGCTGGGAAGGGCCAGCTCCGACCTCTGCTGATGAAACCGCACGGACTAACCACGGGCGTTTGTGGAGCAAACGCGGCGTGTGGAGCGTGGCCGTCGCCAGATATAGGAACCAAAGGATATCAAAGGACCAGCTGAGAACCCACAGCTGGGAACCCACAGATGGTGCCCAACCAACTGAGCAATTGGGTCCCAAGGCGAAGAAGTCTTGACGTGGGAGGAAGCAAAAAAAAAGAAACGTCCTCGACAGCTTTCCGATGCGGGCTGTTGGCACTGCTTCTCTGGCTTGTCTTGCTGCTGCTGCTGTTGGTGCTCTTCACTCTGTTCTTCTGCTTGGAGCCCCAAGATAGTTCGCCTCACATCGAGTCAGCTGGACCAAGGGAGGAAGGATCCTCAGAGCTCTGACCCAAACGTCTCGACTTGATCGGGATCTAGCGGTGAAACATGTTGAAACCGAGAAACGGTTTCCTCGCCGGGCGCTGGCTCTGTCCGCAGTTGGAGTCTGAGGTAAGGGTGGGGGGGGGATGTTCGATCTGAATCCCACCCTTGGGTGGGTGGTAGTATGGCTTAAAGCCCTATGAATCCCTTGGGCCCTCCCATTCGGGCTGGACCCGAAGACCTCGACCACCGAGTCCGGACCGAGGGCCCGGACCCTTTGGTTTGAGGGCCTGGAGGGTGGCTGACTCAGCTCGCCAGTGGGGCGGCCAGTGGATGTTCACCACCGACTGGGTGGTGGTGAACATCCACTCCGACGGCTCCAAGTCGAAGCCATCTGAGTGGATGGACCTGGCATGGACCTCACGCCTCACGACATCCTGTCGCAGCAGGTGCTGCGACTGCCTGCGATTGGTTCAACTCCGCTGTCAGGGCCAGCCTGGCCCTGAGCCAGGGCTATCCTTGTGTGAGTGAGTAACTTGGGGTGTTTCTCGGATGAAAATTGCGTGGTGAGCGGGGCCTACCCAGGTCTGGGTGGTGCTACACTGGCAGCGTCAAGACAACACAACACCAACCCGAAAACGCAGATCGCCAGCTTGTCCGGCAAAACAACTTGGTGGAGTGTCCTACAGGGAACGTCTGTGGGCTCGCACCCTTCTGGAGAGCACCAAGCAAGCGCCTTTATAAGTGCATGTGTCTATACATGTTTAAATAATGATTAAAAAATGCGTGATCACTGATAAATAACAATTAATGATTTATAACAGTCTCAGTACTAAAAACATTGAAAAATCATTTAAGATTGACTTCAAGCCTTTACCGGTTGGCTCCGGTAAGCAGAAGCTTGATCGTCTCATACCGGTTGGACCGACCCTCTCATTCCAAGTCACCCGGCATGTCGGGCACAACGTCCATGCTGCAGGACAGCCGCTTCTGTAAATTCTGCTTAGGACCTTTCTTTCTTCCGCCGCGGCTCCACGTCGTCCCCATGGCCAGCGCTCTTCCGCTGCCGGAAAACCACGTGCGCTTTTCCACCGCCCGTCGCTCCTTGAGTCACGGGACGAAAAGAGGCTTCAGCCGGTTCTCGGCCGCTAGCGGAGAATCGGAGGTCTCTGTTACATATGCATATATATATATATATATACGCCTGGAACCCGTTTGACTCTGTTTGAGTTTTTGATGGGAAAAAACAGGTGGTTTGTGGTCCAAAATAGAGGTCATTCAGGTTTTCCAGGTATCGCATCCGATCCTCCAAGAGGTCACCAACGGAGACCTGTTAGTATTAGGGCCCTTCCCTAAGCCTCGAACGAAGAGACCTGTTAGGAGGATGCTGGTCTATGGTGGATAAATCTGTGCCTCATGTATGCACACGAGGTACAACAAGGTACTAAGCCCTTCATTTCAGGCACTGAGCGATCTTAGACTCACGCCCACGCTGGTGCGGTGTAGATGTTTGACAAGCTCATGCAGGTCACTTTGGGGGGGGTGGCTACTTGAACACTCCATGCAAACCTACTGTAATTACAAATAAAATCTTATAGATAAGCTGTTTTGCTTTCAGCATGCCCAACCAGGGTAGGCCAAACTCAGGTTTGATCGGTTTGATACTGATTTACCTCATGCATCCTCATGCTTCAGATGAAGTCTGAAGTTATAGTTATAGTGTACCAGGGCCATGAATAGACGTCCATCTTTCCAAGCATTCCCCTCGATCTCCTGTTTCTGTGTCTCTATGTTGGCTGAACTCATCATGCTGAGTTGAATAAGGACTCGTGCATTATCATACATTGGTGGCTGAGCACCTCGATCCTCTACCAGTGACAGCCAACAATTGATACTAAGAGATACTAAGAGCTGAGCCCCCCAAACCCGGAAATCGACCTCCCTGGTCAACCTCATCTCTTTCTTCAGTTATTCATGCTCGGAGTTCCTCCACTCGAGTCGAGCATGCAGAGTCACAGACTGGTTACTGCACTGGTGACAGAAATGGGTGATATGATTTTTGTGCGAGCAGCTTGGGGGATGCATGGTGTCTGTACTGGTTTCACCGCTAGTTTCAGGGTTTCCAATGTTTCCGGTTTCCTGGTTCACATGAGTCGCAGCTCTCCCCATTGCCCAAGTGCCTCTTCGTTTTCCATCGTTTTCCCATGTCACATGTTTTCCCTAATTGGCTTCCTTCCTGCAGCTTTTCATGTTTTTCCGATTTCCATCCATTCGAACTTCCCTCCCCCAACCTCCCCCCAACCAAAACCCTCCACTTCAACCCCCAGAGTGGGAACCCCCAAAACCCGCCCCCACACCGCGCGGTGTCACCCGGAGGCGCCCACACGTCACGGCGCCGCCTTCCCCGTCGGACAAGGCCCGCCGATACACGGGCGGCGTCTCTTTTTTACCGGCACTCGTGGAGCTCGGCGGTGCGCCGTTCGAAGACCATGACATTCCGTTGGATCCACCAGTGGTGACAATGCCCTGCCCGCGTGTGGCGCGCGCCCCGCGCCACCCGCGGGTTCCGTCGCCGACCCGGGGAAGCGAAGGAAAGAGCAGAGAAGAGCAGCTGGGGAGGCGACGATTTGATGGAACTCCCCAGTCCCAGCCATTTCCTATACCTGGATCTTCCAACTGAGACCCATTTCTGCCTGTTCATTTCTAAAAAAGTATGCCAAAGGATGCCAAAGGTTCGAAGATCCAGGGGTATGTAAAGGATTTCACTTGCCATATTGGAACATCCATGGTTTCTGGTTCTTTGGCAGTTCAGGTGGTTTTGTCACCGCCCTTTGGAAGTCCGTCTTCCGCGCTTCGGAAGGCCGAGGAAGCCGTCATCCGTCGTCCTCGGGGCGCACGCTGGATCTCTGGGGCCGCCGAGCCTGTCCCAGCTCCCTTCGGACCGAGCTCCTCCGAGGGTCCGAACTCCGAGGGTCCGTGCTCGCCTCGTAGCCAGGTCGTCGCGCTTTGATTGTGCCAGAAGCCTCGCGGCTTCAGCAATGCTTCCACTTCCGCCTCTGAAGAGGCGCGGAGGACTGGACTGGAGGGTGGAGGGTGTGAGATTAGCGGTCCTATGACCCAAAAGGCTCGTCAGGATCTACTGAGGCCGCTGATATTTGCTGTTGAGAAGGCCAGGCACCTCTGGTTTTTTGCGAGCACCATGAAGCCCCCACCAGTAGATCGAACCTATTCAATCGATGTCAATCGATTCTTTTGGCGGGCGGTGCGCACTGGGCAGTCCACCTTGAGCAACAAATGGTCACCGTCCATCGTCCAACGAGAAGAGTCGACTCTTTCGTCATTTAGGGTGCCCCGATTCCGGGACAACTTCCTTCAACACTTCGCTGAGGAAAAGTATGGTCTAACTGGGCCTCTTCCAGATGAAGGAATGAACATGAATGAAGGGGAATGAAGAGAAAGTTTGGACACTTTCTGCGGACTATTGGATCATATTGGATCTATTGGTCATTCACTCTCCTTTCAGGTGATTATCATCCATACATCCCATGTGGGCCTCGTGGGTGCCCGGAAAGGGAATTGAAAGGCAAGCTTTGTTACTAGGATAGCAGTGCCCCTTGTTACTAGTAGTATCATGCCAGGAGCTACTTCCTAGTAGCTTCTTGCTCCTAATAAGCAAATTCAGCAGGATGACCTTCCCCTAGGTTGCTTTCAATGCCAAACTGCATAGCACGTCTCGGTTCAGAGGAGCTCCAAGCACGAGCTCAAGCATGTTGCACAAATATGATTCCTTTAGATCATAAAGCAACTATAAAAAGGACCATCCTCTTAACCCCTCTTGCAGTGCCCAATGATTGCAAAAACACATAAAAACACGAATCAATCTCCAGACAGGACACCCAACCAGGCTGGTCCAGGTCAAGAGGAATCTTTTTTGGCTATAAGTGGAACTCGTGTCTACTAACGCTAGCAAACCCAGTCTTTCTGGGCACAGGTCGGACAGGTATAGTGGCCCCCCAAATGGACAGTGGCACAGTTTCCGTTCTGTTCCCATACATTTTTAGTGGGGATCTGCTTTTCTATCTATTCCAGGACCCACGGTCGGGGTGGTTCATGGACACCCCGAATCACCTCTTTTCGGAGCTATCAATAGAAACCCCTGGTCCGGGTGTCCTGGTTTGGGATGTTGATATGTAGGTATACCGATGTATACCCCATAAAAAAACACCACCAACCCCATCAAACACTCCGGTTCAAACCGTTTCCACCAACCCGATGCGGGCGGGTCAAAAAGGCCTGCGTCTTCCAGTTCACATGGCCTCCGCCGGCCTGGCAGGAGGGCGGCTTCGAAGCGCCGTTCATCCAGACAACCAGCAGCAGCGACCAACAGCAGTGGCTGCTGCTGTTGTACCTTGAAAATCCACTGCCACCTTCTCGGGAGGTACGACATGGCCCGACCCCGCCTACATCAATGGTCTCCAATCACCTTCTGGGCCGTTGTTGGAATCGTCCAAAGACATCCAAAGACAATGAAAAGACTGGACCATGGGGTTCACCAGGACTGAGTGTTCTCAATCACAGTCTCTCATTCGACCCTTCCTGTTTCGTCGGAGACCATGCTGTTGAAAGGGTTGGTCTCGATTTCCGGTGCCAAATCCTTGGTACTTTAGTGGACCCTCATATGGAGGGGTCTGGGATCTCATATGGAGGGGTCTGGGATCTCAAATCCCTAGGTTTGGAGGGACCAAGGGCTGTTGGGTTACCATAATTTACACTACTGGACCTCCGTCGCCGAGACCAGCCGTGCAAAAACTGGCAGCGGCTGAAGGTCTCTGGTGGACATATACATCACAGACCCCACCACGGCAATGTCTTGGAAACCACTTCAGGGAAGCAGGCTGACTTGGTGCTTTCTTCTTCAAGACCCTTATGGACTGTGCAGATCTACACTGCTATTGTAGAAGGTTGATTTATCAGCACCCCCGCCATTTGGACTGAAAAACCTCTTCTAATATGGGGGGCGTTGATTCATCAACATTCTACGTTGAGGAGATCTGGAACACCCTCAGCTGCGAGCGACTCCATCACTCAAAATCACTCAAAATCGGCGGTTTCATCCTCCAATCCTTACACCATCCTCGACCCAGCATGGTGACCCAAGGGGATGCGTTCAAAGGTTGTCTCTGCTAGCTGCTAGACACCCTCCCCAACACTCATAACATCCCATGTCATGAAGGATCCAAGAACTGTGTATATATACCCTAGAAGTCCAGTTCGACTATTGACCGACTGAGGTAAAGGAAGTTCCCGAACTCAGGTCCCCTTTCAAAACCATTCTTGTTATAGTCTTTGACTCCCAGGGTATATATGTAGAGATTACCAACACTCGCCATCTATCAAAGCCCGTGATCCTTCATTGCCTCACTGGGGGTCGGGAAACCGAGCCTACAAGTATATTATTACAAAAAACGGCCGCAACATCGAACATCTTACAGCTGGGTACCCTTTGCCTTGGTCCCTTGCAAAAAAAGGTTTGCCTTTTTCGATCTGAGTGCATGGGGAAACCAATTCCCAACAAAGGTTTTGCAGGTCATCCACTTTTCCTGGGTAGGTTGCTCCGTAGCGGGCGTTCCCTCCAGTGAATGGGCCTCCAGGTAGGTTGCTCACTCCTTGTCTCAGCCGCTGTTTCGTTCGAAACCACCGCTTCGAACACCGGCAGTGGCTCCTTCGCTCCTGTGGCGCCGCCTTCCGCGCTCCTTCGGCGGCCTGAAAGGGCGGAGCCCACGAGATCACCAAGCCTTCACAGCTGTGCCGGTCCTGCGCCACGCGCCACGCGCCGGTGTCTCTCATCCCGAGAAAAAAGCAACGCGCCCGAGGAGTTGGCTCGATGAAGCGGCATGGGAGGAGACCCCGTAGCAAAGCTTGGGATGAAAGAAAAGGAATCCAACATGACCTGGTTTGGTTTCAGGAAGGCCCATGAAAACCGTCTTCCCACAAAGCAAGCTTCCACTTAGTGAGTGGGAGGACTGAGGAAGAACGACCAAAAGAGCCTCAGCCCCCCCGAAACGCAGGGTTTCTCCTATTATAATAGCCCCTTCCAGGCGAATGGGGACCTCCATGCACCACCCAACTCAAAGGGTTCCTGGTCCAGGTCGATGTCGGAAAAAACCAGCTTCATTGCCGCTGGAAGCCAAGACC